CCCACCGCGGGACGTGACAGGAGCTTTGCTGCAGGACAGCGTGTCCAGAGTCGGTCTGGGGTAGGGAGAAGCGGGGAGCTACTGCGGTGGTAACTGTGGTTGTACCAGTAGTTCAGATTGTTGGAGCGGGGGGTCGTTTACCACAGGGCTGCTGGTTTAATAGGCGGGGAGAGCTCCGGGCTGTGAGGTGCACAAGCGTCCTTGGGGATCCAGCGTGTGTGCGGATCCTTTGGGCAGCGTCTTTATGAAATATTCACGGTGATCCTAGCGACTAGTCGGATTGCCCCAAAATGGTGGGCTTTGGGAGATTCAATGATCTCTTCTGGCAGTGAGAATCTAATTACCTGTCAAACAGTGCGAGTGCCTGAGGTTGGATGTGCATACGCACGAGCGCGTGTATTTTTTATGTACGTGAAGTGGATGTTTTGAGATGCTTGGAGTCTTTATTTAACTTTTTCCTGGTAAATCACTTGAGCAAGATAATCTCTTTAGGGCAAATAGCCAGAGGATGTCACCAACTCTTCACCCTCTGGCATCCCTGACACCTTGGCTGGTATATCTGGACTTCCCAAAGTATTCAAAGTGCCTGGGAAGTAGGGGGCAATCTAGTGCTATGTTATCCTTTTTGGAGGAAGGTGCCTGTGGTCGATAAGGCATAGTTTCTGTATTTAGAGTCTGTAACCATATGTCAGTACAAATGGCTTACTTTTACAGAACAGAGTAATGGGACTTTGTAGATCCTAAAAGATTCCTCTCACTGTTTTAACACTAGCCCCTCTGTGGAGGTCTCTCTTTTTCTTTTGTATATACTTTATTGGTCTTGGTCTCTGTATAGGAAGCCATCCGCAGGTAGCTAGCGGATTATGACACCTTGCCACAGTTCCTGGGAACCTTACTGGCCACCTGATGTGCTATGTTCTCTCATTCAAGTCTGATGACTGGTCTAGCAGAGGGGAAATCTGAGAGGCTTTTGTGTGATGGACAAAATACAGCCTTTTAGTGGTTCTTTGAAAAAAAACCAAAACACTTTACAGAACGGTGAAATAAATTATGAGAATAGAACGAAGTCTAACATTAATTTTTCTTTTTTAATACTTTCATCAAGAAACATCTGTGACTGCAAAAGAATGCACGTGTATTTAAAGCAGTGATGTGAGGTGCTAACTGCCTTTTGTTTGACACGTCTGGTAGGACTCTATGGCAGTTCTTGCACCCTGTGAAGTATGGTCAGGATCAGGCCCTATAAGCATCTGAAATTTCCCACTGCAAGTCATGTGTAGCAGGATGACTCTTCTGTTGCTGTTAAGGAACAAATTTCAACTGTTTAATTAAAATTGCCACGCAGGACATTTCAAGTTCTAGACTGGAGCAGAAGTGGGTTTTGACATTATTCTGAGGAAGAACAGTATATTTTTTTCATCGGTTTGGTGTCTGTTGTCTCTCAGTTGTGATGTTGCATAGTGTTTACTTGTAGCTTTGGCTTAAGCAGTTAACCTCAGTTAACAACCCATTGAGCTATAAGATCTCAGGTTATGAAGTTTTCTAAAAGCTGCCTCCAAACCAAATTGTATTCCAGGATTTTATTCTGAACGGGGATTAAAGAAAAATGAAATGATTGTGGATACCCTTCGCACTGCATTTTAAATCTGTTGGAATGAATATATGTATACAGCTTTGGGCTTTTATTTTACAGGAAAAATTGCATAGACACTATGGTAATTTGAAAATGAGAAGAGAGTTGCTAATATTTATTATCTCACTGATGCATTGAAACTAATTTTGGGTTGCATGTATCTGAATAAAGATGTCTATAAAACATGAACATTAGTATTCTTCTGTGTTTTGATATTAAAGCCTATAAAGCTCTGTGTTACATGGTGTTCATAGATCTGAGTACGTTTTGTTCTAAATTGGCATTGTTTAGGGATTTTTCCAGTAGTATGGCACTTACTGTACAGCTTGGTAGCCACTGCATATTGCTACTGATTTTACTATGATAAAATGTTCCGCTAAGCCACCTAATGGAATATGGGTGGGTCTGTGGACAGGAAGCTGTTGAAGTAGATACCTCCTTTTAGTCTGAAAATTTTGGTGTGTGTTTGTTTGTTTGTTTGTTTTTTAACAAAAAAAGCACTGACAACATGCAGTCCAGAGAGCTGCATATTTGAAGTATTATTCTGCATCTAGGAACTAAGAAGACAAACCAGCTTCTGGACAGCAGAGCTCTTGGAGAAATAATGCTTTAGGTAAATGCTTTTTAGGTAAAAACAGCAAATTCTATTGATACTGAAATAAATCTAGTGGTGAAGACAGGACTGGTATGCAAGTTTTTTGTGTCCTGATTGTACCTTTTGTCTTGCATTTAATAACGTCGTTGTGCAAATTAGATGAGCCTCCATTTATTTCATTGTAAGTGGGCTAGAATTTCATTCGTGTATCTGAGAATTCTGTCCCTATTTGTAAAGTACTTCATTGTTACCAGCTTAGAGGTGTGTAAGAGCTATCACTGATGCTTTTTTTGAGGAATGTTGTTGATTTTCTGTGGCCAGCTCTGCTTCAGAGTTTACACTGTGTTAACAGAGTAGGGAGGTTTTTTAGGTGTCTTGATTTCTATATCCAAAAGGAAGTATATTATTTCTGTTGCTTTATTAGGCTGTCTCAAGTTCTCTTTCTCTGTTCCTCATACCCTGCTGGGAGTAAAGCTATTTGATTATTTGTAAGTACAGTCAACAGTTTACTATCTGAAATATTTCTTACATGTGAGCCCCAACTGAATACGCACCATGTCAGCATATTGATTTATTTGATCTTGAAGTATGCGTGTTATTAATATCTCAGCTAGGTGTACACTTGAAATATTCTTAACAAGCGATATAGGAGTAAGCAAAAATTAAGGCAAGACATGGGTGCCATATGAATCTCTTGTATGACTTAGATCAAATCACTCCATTCAGATAACGTTGTCTTTTTGTTGTTAGGACAAAGCATTCATTAAAATAACAAACCACGTGCTCTGCTTTGAACCATCCTTCCACTCACTCTGTAGTGTGTAGTGTCTTATGTGAGCTTCTCTGTCAGTGTTTATATTATTTAACTTTGTAACTGCTCAGAAAATAAACTTCCTTTACTTGTGAGTTTGTTTACTAAATGGTTTATCATCTTTCTCGGATCTTCAGAACGATATAGGCTCAGTTTGCATGTGGTAAAGCATTGCTTTGTTTTCATAGGTTGAGAAACTAAGGTTTCAAAAGATAATAATTAATTTCTCTAAAACCACAGGAAATTTGGGGGCTTTAAAGAGCGGTATTTCAAAACTGGGTGCATGATGCAGAAGTTGTCACATTTTGGAACTTGGGAGTATCTATGTGTGTATCTTTAAGTCATTGTCTAGTTTTGTTAAGGCTTCTATTTAGTCCTGAATTTTTTCTGCATTTATTACTGTCTTCGTAATTTGTTGTAACTTAGTTTGTGAGATAATTCAGAGAAAGACTGGGAAAGTCTAAACATTCCTGTTAAGTGTAAGACTGACTTTGGACATGAATATGCTCTAGTTTTGTCTGTTACAGAACACTAATCCTTATGAGGATTGTTTTAGTTTGCACTCTGATAATACTTGAGTACATTACTGCTTTGCAGAGAGAGCATACTATGAATTTCTGGAATGCTACAGATCAGAATGGCAGTAAGTTTTCCTTGTATTACTCAAACAAAGACCTGAAGAGCTATGCATATGATCCTGTCCTGGAAGTGAGGTGTGCACAGCCTCCATTGTCTGCTTTCTTTCTAATGCATGCATCTCTGAAAATATTTCGTTTTTTGAAAGACAGGATAATTCTGCCCTTTAAGGGAGTGTCTTGCAGGGATGGTTTTTCTTGGCTTATCCTTCATACACATGTGCTTGTTCATATATGTGCTCAAGAGATGTGTAATTTCTGTCTCTTCAGATGTAGAGAATAAAGCTTGATATGTACAGGGGTGAAATGAGCTTTCCATGCTATGAAAATTTTTCCATCTTCATACAGTAAGAGGACTTTGTATCAAGATGAATTTTCACCAGGGCAGAATAGAAGCTTATCTGATGATATTTTCACAGTGAATTACAGAAGGTAAACGCAAACAGTATGATATATGCTAAGATGGAAAATTACTTATGGTGCAAAGGATTCCTCAGGGCCACTTGGTGTATCTTTTCTGTATTTTTAGTCCTGCTTTCTGGTGAAAGGTGGAGTCTGAGAAAAAGAGCAGAATTTTAACACCAGAGGCTGCTGTTTCAGTTGTTTTTAGATGCTGCTGCTGTTGCAGTGAAGCAGATGGTCAGATTCATTTGTATAAAATAGAAAAATGTTTCATTTTCTATTTATACTTTTAAAGCACTTCAATAACTATGTTGTATCATGTGGCCTTAGCTTAGAGCATGAGTATTTGTAAGTATGAAATTTTTTATGCTCCATCGTATCTCATTAGAGATCAATAAACCACATTTTGAAGCATCTTGCAAGTAGGTATTAGAAGATGCTAACGCTGTGTACAAGCCTAAGTAATCTGAACCTTGTAATTTACCTGCATAATTGTGATCAATGTCATTTTCATCCATCTTCCCCTCCCCACCCACCCTTGAGTGGCCTTTTTTAACACCATCCAAAAATGTTGCTAATAAAGACTTATTTGCAGGCTCTTGGTCAGTGGAGTCCAGTTACTTGCCCACTACTGTTTAGTGCCAAATGCTTTATAGGAACTTCCATGCAGGGGATGTCGGAGGGCAATTAAACTTAAACGTGA